GTGTGTGTGTGTGTGTACCGAACGATGACTCCAATCCAATTCTCAATTTTTCAGCAACAAGCCTGTGGCTGAGCAGAAAAGCTCTGTGACAGTTAATTCAATCAGTTTCAAACCAAATGCTCTTCTGAAAAAGCAGAAAATGAGGCACAGGACACTACTGTTCCATAGAATGATTCTCTGCTCTTACATTATCCTTACATCTAGTTCCAGCAGGTCACAGTTCAGTATGATAGATGATACTTAGTTCAGTGCACTCACAAAAATGAATGATGGCTGTATATAATTTTTTTATTTAATTCTTCAAATGCATTCAATTGGGGGAAAAAAAGCATAAGCGTATGTTTTCTAATCTAATCCAAAATGCCACAATATCTGCTCTTTTGCAAGTGGATCCTTATTTACATTATGCAAGTTTGAAGGAAAAAACATCTAGATGAGACTGCGCCTATGAAGATAGAGAGTGAATGTCTGAATTGGCCTTGCAAAAACGATTTAAACATCTTCAAACAATTGATTTCATCCAGTATTTCTGGACAAAAAACATGCTCCTTAAAAAAGAGAGCTTGTCAACAGGCAGGTTGAGACCAGTGGCAATTTAAAATGTTAATGTATTGTAATTTAAGTGCACTGTCTGGGTTTTAGAAGAGTACACTCCACCTATTGAACATTATGCTCCAATCACATCGTCCTTCACTGTCCTTCATTGGATTCATGAAGGACAGCTTAAAAAACTAAATCAAACAACAAAATCAATGCAGCAGAACCAGTCTTATTTATTCCACAAAAAGTATTGTTCCTTGTCAAAATCTTGCCTCTAACGTTTCCCACAATGCAATTTGACTGTCGACAGTTCAGTCAGAGATGGGTGTGCTATGTTAGTAGCGGCTAGGGTTGGGTATCGCTTAGCTTGTTCTGATACCGGTGCTAAAATTATGTTTATAAAACGGTACTGGTGCCTGAATGGTGCCTGAACCTATACTTAGAAAAATAAGAAGCACAAAATGATGGTTGATGACATTAAAAAATAGACTTTTTTTATTGCTAGGGCAAATTTGAACTTGAAATTGAACAATTTATCGCTGTTAACAGTCAAAAGTATATTTAACTATATTCATATAAATAAACACATTTACACAACAAATTCACATAATAAATAAAACCCAGCTACAGTAATTCAACTCTAAATAACAGCTACAGTACTAATAACAGCAAAATACATTTTGAGTTGGTATTCTTGCTATTCTACAAACTTTGAGCTCATCAATGGTCTCTAAATGGCAAGCCATTATGTCGTATGTACTATTATCTATTTCTGTGTGTCCAGACTTTTTTGACTTATTCAGGAGTGGCCAGACAAATGTGTCTCAGCTTTCCAGTCATTCATAATTTCTGCATTTCCAATACTGTTTATGGTCCGCAGTCTGCAGAAATATTCAAATACACTAGGCAAAAATAACACATTTATACCACAAGCAAAGAACTGCGTGGAATTAGCATAAAGTGGGCATGTCTGCAAGGGGGAAAGTGTGGAGCTTTATTTAGCCCCCTTCCTGACTTGCATGATGAGGTAGAGGCTTAAAACATTTGTTGAAATCCTTTCGAATGAAATACACCTGCTTTTTTTTTTACCATTTAGCTCGGCATTTTAACCATCTTTAAGGTAGCTACTAGCCAACAGTAGGCTACCTGTTGCCAGAGACATGTAGAGAAAGAGTTGCTGTAACGTTAACAAGTGATGGAACATGTGTGATGCCTCTGTTGCCTGGAATGTCAGCACCAGAGGAAAACTACTCCAGTAGACAACTCTGGTACTAAAGGAGGCACCAGCATCTACGTTATGATCCGGTCTGGTAGTTACCGGTTCTGTCGGAACCAGTGTTATATTGGCACTGTGTTTCAGTACTTAACCTTAGTAGCGGCTACTGTAGCCTTGAGCCTCTAGTCTGCAACAGAGATAAGGAGTGGGCTTCACAGGTGTTTTAGGCTCACTTCTTTCTAACTCCACACCCGCAGATTATTTTTTTCAAACTTGTAGTCTTCAGCCTCAACCTCAGTCTTAGACTCTATTCAACTTCACATATGCAGTAGTACCTCATTAAGACCTGTAAAAGGACTTAATGTGTAAAATCCCCTTTAATGCACTGATAAGAATTAGCTCATCCATTATAATTCATCCATTTTCAGTTCCATGATGCACATCATCACATATTTGTTTCACAAAATATTGCACCATAATATACTGTCACACCCGTATGACACACACTTAATGTGTGTTTTATGAGACAGTTGAGACAGTGGTTTTCATCAGGGCTTAAGAAGATGGCTATTGTTAACTTGCACTGTAGGTGTGTGTAAGTGTATATGTGTGTGTTCAGGAAGTGTGTGCTGATGTGGCCGCCCTGTGCCTGAGCTTGGATGTCA